CACCCGGCCCTGGTTCCGTCCCCAGCACCACCCCAGAGACGGGGTCGAGGGCCTTGGGGAGAAGTGACCCTGGCCTTCCGGAGCCCGGGGAGGGGCGCGCGAGCGCTGGGAGGCCGCCTGCCCGCCCGCTGGCCTCCAGCACTCTCCCTTCCCGCCCCCGCTGTGTGACCTTATTTCACTCTTTGTCTTTCCATTCTCTTGCTCTGTGTTCAGTTTGCCTTTCTGCTTTATCTTGGCTTAAAAGACAAAAGAAAACCTAATTGAACTGGAATCACATTGAACCCAAACCGTGGCCACCTCCCCAGGACCTGGGCGCTGCCACGCGGCCCTCAGCCCGTGCTCTGCTGACCCCAGATCTGTACGAATAAGGATCTGCCACCCAAGAGGGATGCCCACGGCCCTCGCGCGGAGCCTCTCGGTGCCCGGCCTCTACCTCCTCCGCCGTGAGGGCCCTGGCTCCTCGAGCCCTCCCAGGCCAGCGCATCGGTGGAGAGCAGACAGGCTGTCACCTGTCCCGGTCTATTGGAGGATTTTAAAAAACACCCAAAATGGGGACTGCCACTCTGGAAACACCTGCCCTGGGCAAAGCCTCCTGGTCTCCCTCCCGCCCCCGGGGTAAGCTCCGAGGGTGGGCCGGGGCGGCCCCTGACGGGTGCCAGCTCTGCACCGCGGAGGAGGCGCACCACCTCCAGGGCTTTGTAAGCTAAAAAGAGTTCTTTAAATACCCAGTGGGCTCCTTCTTGGGTGACTGTCCCCATGCTAGACTCTGGAATGGCCTGAAGTTCTGGGCACGCTGAGCGCAGTGACTTCCCACTCTTGTTTCTGTCATCAGGCAGGTGGCCCCTGGCGTCCGGCACAGCCAGCCCAGGCCAGGTCTGTGTTGGATGGACGTGCGTTCACAGGCCCATTGTGCACACGCCCCCAGGCTTTCAGTCAGGGTGACCCTGGGCCCTGGAAGGCTTTCCCCAGGCCCAAGTAAGACTGGCCTTAGTAGCTGCTGTGTCCCCAGAAGGAGTGAGTGGGGCCAGGCCACGCCCCAGCACCGGCCGTGCCCCACACGTCCCTGGGCCTGGGTTCAGGCGGGAGCAGAGCGCTGGCCGAGGCACTGCACACAAAGCTGAGTGTGTCCCTGTCGCTTGCTTCCCCACGCAGATGTCCCCACCACTCCAGAGCAGCCTCCGCCTCCGCCTCACCTTCCCGACCAGCTGGGGACCGGCAGGGAAGCGGAAGCAGACGCCAAGCCCAGCAGGAGCCTGGCCCGGGGCCCGGAGCTGGAGACCGCACACCTGTCCCCCAGCCTGCTGCCCGCCCAGCAGCCCACCATCTCCCTGCTCTACGAGGACACTGCCGACACTCTGAGCGTCGAGGCTCCGACCCTGGTCCCGCCTGTTGACCCCCACAGCCTCCGTGCCCTTACTGGCAGGCCCCAGCCGCCCACGCCAGCCACCGCGGGCACCGAGACCCCCGACGAGGAGGCTGCGTGGGCAGAGCCCGAGGGGCCCGCCGAGCACTGAGTGGGCGCCCGGGGCCTCCCCTGTGCGTGCGGCCCGCTGGTAGGGACCCAGTGCAGTGACGGCCAGACCCCGGGAGCACCCACAGTTCTGCGCGCCCCGGTACCGCTCCGCCCCCACCCCAAGACTACTGCACTCCACCTGCCGCCGCCCTCACGGACCTCCACGGAGACCCGTGCCCACGGAGCAGGAGGCCACCTCAGAGAGGCAGGAGGAGGGCCCTGCAGGAGCCACCAGCACCCTCTCTCCTCGGGTGGCTCCTGTCCCCTCCCTGCCGTGCCCAGAAGCAGCGCACAAGGTCACTTTGGGTAGAAATCTGAAGCCGAGCGAACTTAGATTCTGTCTCCTTCGGCTGTTTATTCCTGCGTTTGGCAGCAGATGAAAAGCATTTACTTAAAAGGCATCTCTTTGGGGAAAAAGGTCCAAAGACACCCGCGGCTCCGAGGCTGGGTGTCCCGCGGCGGGTAGGGGTAGTGCTTAGGTGTCTGTCTCCCTCAGTTTCTCCGTGTTCGGTTGTAGACTCTTAGTGTCGCTGACTCCGTTTTCTTAATGATTCTCCTTTCTCTCTCACCGACTCTGCCAGCCTTGGAATGGTGAAGTACCTACCTGAAAAGTTTAGTTTATTTCTAAATAAAACCGAGGGAGTTTCGTGGACTCTTGGGCCGTGTGGAGCGAGAGGGCGGCGGCTGCTCTGGGCCTGAGCGGGGTCTGACTGGCCGCTTTCCCAGAACGCACCCTCCAGCACCTCGCAGGGACAGGTCTCCAGCCCCAGCCCCGGTTGCCCCTTCCCCTGTTTACCTGTGAGGGAGCCACTGGGGACGGCCAAGACCCCAGACCCAGTGGCATGACGGGAACAAGGCCAGAAGCGTCTCCGTGTCGCCTGCACCCCACTCCATGTGCCCGGTCCAGAGGAGGCGCCGGCTCAGGCGAGGGTCCCAGGAGCCAGCCTGCTGCCTTCCCCGGCTGGCATGTGACCCTGCCACTCCAAGGCTCTCCTTCTCGGCGAGCTTAGTCACCAGGCACGGGGACCCTGGCCGCTGCTCAGGGTGGGTCTGGTGCAGCTTTCCTGCAGATGTGCCCAGAGAACCAACAGCAGGTGTCATGTCCCCCCGGCCCGGCTGTTTGGGTGGCCTCAGGAGATGTGCCGGGAGCTGGCCACCGACCTACCCCCGGGAAGGGGCCTTGCCATCTCCGCCAGGCGGCCTTCCCTAGGGCCTCCCAGGTCAGATCTCAGCCCCTGAGTAAACCCGGTGATCACACCGGCCAGGGGAGGGCACCCGAAGCCCCCGCTGGGGGTCCTGCCCGGCCTTCTCCACCCCGGGCAGGAGGACTGTCCCTCCACAGAGAAGACCAGGCTCAGAAAGGAGGCCATCGAGGCAGAAGGTCCAAGAAGGACGAGCCATGACCTCACAGTGCTCCCTAGGAAGGGAAGGGTGATTTGGGAGAGGGGGAGGGCCATGGGCGAGGCCGGTGCCCTGTGCCCCAGCAGCCGGCCGCCTTGTGCTGGGTGCCCCGGGGTGGACACGGCGCAGGCTGGCCCTGGCTGGCCCTGGCTGAGCAGCTCACCCGAGCTGTGCACTTCTGAAATGCCTGTCTCTGGGTGGAAGGAACGAGAGGGCCACAGCTCCCCGCCCACGTGCCTGTGAGGACAAGGATGGCTCCCTGGTGATGCTCACGCAGGGCCCCAGCCCGCAGGGCCACCCTGCTGCCCGCTCTCAGCCCTCGGCCAGCTCCCGACGGCCAGCCCTGGGGAGAGAGGACCAGGCCTTGGTAAAAGTCGGGCCAGGGCTGCTGCCCTCTCCCTGGCGAAGGACAGGCCTGCCCCGGCCATGCTTGCGAGGTCACCCCCGGGAGCCGGCCTCAGTGGGGCCTCCCAGTGAGCAGGTGGGCCCTTCCTGAGGGGAGCACCGTCCCCACTCCAGAGCTGTGGGGCTGGAGGAGGCGGCTGGCCCCCGGCTCTGAGAGAGGACCCGCCTTTCCCAGGCCCGTCATCTTGGCCGCACGGATGCAGGTGTCCTCGGGAGCGCCTGCCACCCCGACCCGCCCAGGCAGAGCACAGGGCGTCTGGCAGAGGTCTGGGCAAGCCCCAGCCGAGGCCACATGCTGACCTACAGTCTGGACAGACGGCAGGGACAGCCTCCAGAAGCCCGCTAGACTCAGGACCCCTGCCCAGCACGTGGCCTGCCCTGGGGTCCTCCCCCAGTCCACCGTCAGGCCATTGGGTTGGCCTTGCAGGTTGGCCACTAGAACCCAGACCTCTTGGCTTTTCTAGTTGCCAGTTGGAGGCTCGGCCACTCCCCAGCAAGTCAGCAAGGGTGGCCCCAGCAGAGGGGCTGCAGGAGGGTCCTCTCTCCCGCCCTGTGCTGTCCGCCTCCCTGTGCAGAAGGCAGCTCCCCCACACTTGTGGCTCCCGGTGCTCGGGCGGGGGTTGGACACCAGGTTGGCTCGTGGTCTCGGGACGCCCTGTTTTTAAAAGGCACCGACCAGACCTACTTCTCCAGATGCAATAAATAGGAACTGTGTGATGTAGTCATGTTGACCTTGGGCACAAACTGAGTCCCTTAGGTGGAAAACAGGTCAACAGGGCGGAGCAGGGCTTGGCAAACCTCGTGCGCTGGCCACTCTCGGGAAGTACCTGCCTTTGCAGTGTCACTCGGGCTTCGTGGGTACGAACACGAGGTGGAAATGGAAACTGGAGCTTCCTTGTAGATTGAGTTAACGGTCAGCGAGAGTGCGGCCTGCTGCTCCCGGCCAGCCAAGGAGGGAGGCTGGGCCTGGCCTCTGACCCCTCTTCCTGCCACGGCTGCTCTGTGGGATGCTGTGGCCAAAACCCCTCCCTTCCCTCCCCAGCTGCCCCCCCCAGGTTAACAAGAGTTTGGGGGGCCAAGTCCTGCTCCAAGGCCGGGGACCACTCAGGACAGTGGCTCATGGAGGACAGGCCCCTCACCTGTTGGCAGGGGGCTCCCCAGCCAGTGTGCGCCTGGTTCCCTGGAAATGGACCCGAGTCAAGAACTTCAGGTCCCAGCCCACGCCTGGCCCGGAAACGGCTGGGACTTCTGGGGCTGGGGAGCAGGCCCCAAAGAAGCCGCAGGAGGGAGCCACACCAGGCCTCCTGGAGCCGAGGACTGCCTGGAGCCAGTCCCTGGGCGTCTGACCCCGAGGCCGGGCCGAGAGGCTCTGGGTCCCTTCGGCTGGAGTGGAGCAGGCCGTGCGCTGCGGGGGTGGCCGCTGCCCGCCCGCAGCCCCTTCACCCCCACGGGGCCTGCTTGGGCACATGGGCATTCACAAGCCTTGGAGACTTCAGGATAGAAAAGGAACCTGCTGGCAGGGTGCCCAGCCACGGGCTAGGCAAGGCGGTGGGGGGCAGAGTGGGGGGCCAGTGGCGGCCGTCCCCTCCCCCAGGCCTTCTGTGACAGCCCCCCCTGCAGGCAGTGGGCAGCGACAGGATGGAGGTGAAGTGGTACTTCACAGGTGCACCTGGGTGCTGGGGTCACCTGAAACTGCAGCCCGGGGTCACTGAGACCCTGTGACAGTCCCCCCTTGGGCCCTCTGCACCGCCTGGGCCGGGCAGTGCTTAGTAAGAGCACTTCTTAGGAAGGCCTGTCCTTGGGGGAGGCAGCCGGAGCCCGTGTGCCTGGTGTGAACTCCCGCCATGCCCCTGGCCAGTGTGTGGCCTTGGCCAAGTCCCCTGTCTGTGAAGGACTTGTTGGGAGCAGGTGGCCTGCAGAGCCCTTGGCCTGAGACCTGCCTCCCGAGTGCCAGGGTCTGGGTCCAAGGTGGCCCTGAAGGTCCCAGCTGGAGGCCTGGTCCCCAGCTGGGGCTCTCAGGAGTGGTGGACGCTAAGAGGGGAGGCCTCAGGGGAGTCTCCAGGAAGGAGGTGAGTGGCTGCCCGGGGTGTCTGTCACGGAGCAGCACTCGCCCGTGGACGGCCACCTGGCCTCTCCGCTTCCCCTGGAGATGTGGTGCCGCTCCCGTGTGGGACGCTGACAGCTGGAGGCCACCTGCCCTCCCCTGCCCTGCCTCCCTGCGCTGGAGTGGCCGGGAAGGGTCAGCTGCCGGCTCTGCTTCTGCAGGGCCTGGGGAGGTCGCGGCTGTCCCTGAGCACCAGGAGTGGGGGCCTGGCGGGGTCTGGATCCTGGGGACCGCCGCGGGAGGGGCAGGTGGCAGTGACCTTCCCGCCAGCAGCCTGGGTCCGCGCACACAGGGGAAGGCTGTTTCCCGCCAGCCGAGTCCTGGAAACCCCCTCCCTTCGGTCCTGCTTCTCGGTGGCCCTGCAGGGTGATGGGAAAACCCTCAAGGTCCGCAGCGCTGGTCCCTGGAGGAAGGTCGGTCCTGAGTCACCGGACGCCTGGGCTTCCCGGGAATTCACTGGAGGGCGTGCCATGCCAGGCGAGGGCGGGTCCCCTGCTTCCAGCGTGCCAGGGGCGTGGCTCTGCCTGCTCACCACTCCAGCGGCCACCGCAGCTCCCTGCCTGGGCCCCTGGGCACCAGGCACTCGCCCGCCCGCCCCAGGCCACTGCCCGCCCAGCCTGTGCTCTCACCTGCCACCTGAGCCTCACCTCCTTGGTGCTGACGGTGGCCTTTTAAATCCAGCTCGCCCACAAGGGCAACTTCGCTGCCGGGAACAGAAACCCGTCCGCGGCTGCGCCCGTCCCAGGCTGCCCTAGAGTGAGCACCAGCGGTGGCTCCAGGTGACAGGAACTTGCTCTCTCTCAGCGCTGGGGCCAGAAGTGCAGGCTCAGGGTCAGCAGGGCCCACCCTCTGCAGGCTGCGGGGACCGTTCCTGGCCTCTCAGCCCCGGTGGCTTTGGCAACCCCGGGCGTCCCTGCGAGTGAGTCGCTCCCGTCTCTGCTGGCCCGGCCTCCTGGCTCACCCCCTCGGCCATCTCTGAGGACCCTGGCCTCGGACCTAGGCCCACCCTGATCCAGGTGACCTCACCTCAAGCTCCTTGACCTAGTGACAGCTGTAAAGACCCTTCTCCAAATAAAGCACACTCACCGGCACCAGGGCTTGGGGTGGACGCTCCTTTAGGAGGCTCCCCGTTCGGCCATGACACTTGTCAGGAATCCGGGGTGCCCCGTCCCCAGGAGTAAGTCCTGGCTGGGCCCCGTCGCTGGGCAGGCTGGCCCAGGCCACCCTCTCGCTGTTAAAAGGGGAAACAAGGCGCTAGAGCCTGTATGCGCTTTGGACAGATCCCAAGGGCTGACACCAGGGTTATGTTCGTGTCCTATGCCCCCAAAGTCATCGGGCGACCACCAGGTGGGAGGCGCTGCCGTGCCCCACAGGCCACCGGGGGTCATTGACGTAGGTGTCTCCTTCAACCCTCCTCCAGGCGGCCACCGGGTCCCCTCTGACCCGGTCCTTCCCCGTGGCTGGGCACAGGCTCCAGTGCGCGGCTCTCCGTCCATGGGCCCTGACTGGACGCCGCCGTTCCTGGACACGGCACCCCCTTCCCTAAGCCGGGTCCCACTGGTGGCCCGTGCCCAGGGCCTTGGCCTCCGCATCCCCTTCCCAGCGCTCACTCTGGTGCCTTCGGAGTCCCACAAACAGATCTTGGCAGGACCCGCGGGGCCTGTGGCAAGGGCACAAGAGTTCTGGGTCCCCCGACCCCGCCCGGTGCCTCAGCCCAGACAGCTTCCGCGGCTTCTCCACGCCCAGGGGAGCCCCGGGCAGGACGGCCGGGCGGCAGGCGCAGAGGCTGCGGCCAGCTGACCCGATTCCTGTCCCCGCACCAGAGCCGCGGCCCGTGGCCCTGAGCACAGAGCTGGCCTCCGTGAGGCCCGACTTCCTCCCGGGGGCTGAGAGTGCCGGCAGCGTCCTGGCCGTGCAGGGCAGGTGGGGACAGGTCCACTGAGCACGCGGCGCCCAGCCTGGCCCAGGGGGTCTCGGAGGGGCTTCAGAGAGGAAATGGGGAGCCAGCCCCTGGGGCCGAGGTTGAGCTGCGGTGTTGGGGGCCTGGGCCGGGGTGCCCCCGGGGCTGGAGGGCTTGGGGCCAGTGGAGAACTGCAGCGGGTCAGCTGCGTCCCTGAGTGCTCCACTAAGGCAAGGCTCAGCTCTGGCTGCGACGTCAGTGGCCCTGCTTCTCGGGCCTTCGCCCACCCAGGCTCCAGGGCCTCTGGCCACAGACTCCTGATCCTGGGCCCTCTGGCTCCGTGACCCCAGGAGCCGTTCCTAGGGTAGTCTCTGGCCAGCACCTGCCGGCTCTGTTTCTCTGGACGCTTCTCGCTGACTCAGTAGCCAACAGGAGAAGCAGCCGGCCCCCTCTGCAGCCCCCGGCCGCTCCCCCCTCACGCAGCGCTCGAGCCCACCATCCTCTCCTGGAAGGCCCCTGCCCTGCCGCCCCAGGACCTTGGCACCTGCCTTTCTTCCCCTGGAGCCCCGCCCACTCTCCCTGGCTGCACCTTCAGTGCCACCCCAGACTGCTCTGAAGAGGTCCCCACTTTTCCCTGTCACAGCGGCCACCGTTTCCTTCCTGGCATTTCTTAGACCTCAAAGGGTTTTGTCTCTTTGATTGTTTGCCTCATTCAAAGTCTCCCTCGGGTCCCATTGTTCACTGACCTCAGCGGTGGCCCGGGAAGGACAGGACCAGCCGAAGCTGTCGTCACCTCTGGGCACTGCTGTGGGCGCCTGTGCTCAGCCCCCACGGGGGCCTCTGCGGACCGCAGGGACAGGCTGGCCTCAGGAGGTGCCCACCAAGGACAGGTCGGGCAGGCACGGATGCGTCAGTCCTTCGTCCCTTTGTGGAGAGGTGCCCCAGACATGGACAGCCCGGGGCCTGGACAGCTCCTGTGGGCACCTTCAGGAACCGGAGACTCACAGGTGGGCCTGGCAGACACAGCTCCGTCACCCACTGGTCCTCTGTCTCCACGGATTGTCCACCTGCCCACTTCACAGAAACGGTGTCACTCACGGCGTGGGGCACCCCGTCTGGCTCCTGTCTTGCTGCGGCGTGTGCCTCAAGCTCACCTGCACTCGGGCCTACCTGGGCACTTTGTTCCTTTTCATGGCTAAATGATATTCTGTCCTGTGGACAGACCACATTTGGTTCGACCGTTCACCTGTCCCTGGGCGGGGGGTGTCCCTCCAGCTACAGTGAACACTGCTGCTGTGACCCCTCCCCCGCCTCATCTTCCGGCTTTTACCAGGGGAGGACGGGTCTGGAGCGGGTTCCGGTCCTCCGGGCCACTCACTCCTCGAGTTTGTGCCCAGCCTGCCACACCAGCTCTGGGCCAGCTGGACCCCACCCGCAGGACCACAGTGGGGCATGAGCCCGCGCCCGGGGCCTGCCCGGAGGCGTCAGGGCTCGTGGGCAGCTGTGCCCCAGCCTGACCAAGGGCTCCAGACCCGCAGGGGGAGCCATCAAGAGGGGCCCACGCCACCCGGGGACAGGTTCAGGGACACGTGCAGGAGGTGAGACCCCACACTGAGTGGCCACGGGCGTGCAGGGGGACAGCCCCGGTCCCTAGCCAGGTCTGAGGCTTGGCCAAGCCCCCCGACCCCCCCGGCCGCGGCCCACCTGGGCCCCCGACGCCCCCTCCTCCGCCCTCCGCCGTGTTTGATTCTCTGACTTTGCTCTCGCGCTCCGGTGACGGCGAGGGACCGCACAGCCCTGGTGGCAGTTTGGCCCAGTATAGACAGACCGTGTCCCCAGTCTTACACTGGGGCGACCCGCGGCCACACCGCCGGTTCCCTTCCGTCCCTCCTTCTGGGGCAGGGACAGGGGACTGCTGGCTCTGGGTGGCTCTGGCAATAGCTCCGTGGGATCAGCTTTCTGCCACTGGGACCAACCCTGAGGTGACCCCCTCAGAGACCAAGGGACAGGCCGTCCCCGAGCCCCGGGAGGCCACGCGGAGTCCTCGCCTGCTCCTGGGAGCACCTGGAGCCTGTCCCACTGGGTGTCTTCCCACTTATCAGCCCTGGGCTCCTCCGGCCCCCTGCCTGGGCCTGGCAGGCTCCGTCGGTCACCCTGGTCCTCTTCCCACACTTGGCAGAGGGCCCCAAGAGGGGGAAGCCCGAGGTGTGGGCTCAGCGTTCTCCTCCTCAGGGTGTGGCTCCCGGGCCTCCCCAAGCCCGGAAGTCCCTCCTGGGGCCAGCTCCGTTGCTTGGCTGACTGCCCGACTGCACCCAGGGCGCTCCTCGGGCTGCATCCCCAGCCCTTCTCAAGTTCTTATCTTGGGAGAGGCTCTCACTGAAGTGGCCAAGCTGGCCTCCAGCTTGCAGTCCTCCTGCCTCAGCCTTCTGGGTTCCTGGGGTTCCAGGCGTGGGCCACTGCCCCAGCACGGCCTCCTGAGCAGCCCTTCACACCTTGCTCAGTTCTGCTTAAAGCAAAGTCCCTCTGGGCACAGCTCAGTCTTTGGGTGACCTTTTTTTTGAAGTGCCCGGCTATTCACCACCGGCCAGAGGTCCCCGCGCGCGGCCAGGGCGGCGGAACTCCCTGTTAAATGGAAACTAGTTTTCAAAGTCGGCTGGGGCTGGGGCAGCTCCGTGGTGGAGCACTTGCCTAGCACACAAGCTGCCCTGGCTCTTCCCCAGCTCAGCCTGAAGAGTGAGGGGTTGAAAACAGTGAAGTAATGGCGCGCCGCCGCGGTCGGCCACGGACACGGAGGAAGGCCTGGCCTGGGAGTCGATCCCTCCACCAGGTACTCATCTCCTTGTGCAGCCTCCCTCGACCTGTCCTGACCTCCAGACCAGTGCTGCTTCATCGGCTGTCATACCCCCGGGCCTTTGCATATGCTGTTTCTTGTGCCTGGTGAACTCCTATGCACCCTTCAAAGCCCTGCTCGACATCAGCTGCTTGGAAGAACAGGTCCGGGCTTCTGTGGGCAGACGGGTGCCCTCAGCTGTGCCCCTGTAGTGCGCTGTCCCTGTTTTATTTGTGGTGGGGAGTTGCCCAATGGTCATGTGCCCTTCTCTGTCCACAGAGACCCCATTCTAAACCCCAGGCATTGAGCCGGATACCAGGAGAAGTCAGTCATCCAGGGCTAGGTGTGTGGTCCTGGTCAGTGAGACGTAAGGAGGAGGAGAATTGGGGGATAAGAGGGAGGGCTTCCTGAAAATATTTTTCTCCCTGTTAAAATAGAGATCCTAGAGGAGAACCCTATGCTCCTGAGAACGTGATGTACGGTGCTGAGGCGACCATGTTAGGACCACGAGGCAAAGCCATGAGACCCAGGAGTCACGTCAAGAGCAGGGCTCTCTAATGCCAAAGCAAGGTCAAGGGTGGTAGAGGGTGGAGGCTCGAGGCTCCCAGGGGAGGGAACGGAGGCCTGGAGAGGCTGGCCTAAGAATGCACTGGGCGCTTTACGTGGGGTCTGTCACTCCCACTGTGCCCCACAGACTGGGCAAACCGAAGACCAGAGAGGGACGGTAACCTGTGTGACATCCTAGAGCTGCTCTGGGCAGGAGGCGCCTGGTCCCTGACCTCAGAGCCCAGATTCTCGGCCTCTGTTCATCCTGCCGCCTGCCCAGCCCACACGTGGAGGGTGACCAGCCTGGGCTGGGCGGGGCCCTGGGTCCTGTCCCTGCCAGGGACGTGGGGTGTGACGGAGCCTTGCCCACTTCTGTGAAGGAAATCTCCGGCCATTCATTCCTAGAAGGAAGAGCCACGCCCTGCACTGACCTGCCGGGCACAGGTGGGTCCAGCGGCCACGTGTGCACTTCCAGGAAAGGGTGGGGGCAAGGCAGCGGCTCCGAGGACTCCTGGTCCCTGGGGCTGCGGCTCCTGACTTGGGAGGTGGCTCAGCAGGAGGCCTCCCAGGTCCCCTCGCAGGGCAGGGACACTCCTGTCCTCCTGGGGACAGGGCCCACTCTGTGCCTCAGTCTCCCTTTCTGCCTCCCTGGAACCCCGAGCGGGGGCTGTGGGGCCCTTCCAAGGGCGCTGGAGGTCACCCCGAGGCCCTGGGAGTCTGGTGACACAGAATAGACAGAACTGACTGACCGTCCAGCCAGCCTCCCCCCAGCTGGGCACTGTGGATCCAGCCAACGGGGTCCAGAGTGTCCAGGGGAAAACAAGTCACATCTGCACCAAGCAGCCTCAGGTCGTCCCCCCAAACAGCGA